ATAGAACATTTATTCTTAAACTCCATTGTGGGGTGGTAGAAAGCAATTTACCATTTTTCTTTTGTTACAAAGTAATATTTACTTGGTGGATAATGAGGGAATCTTTGGAGTTCTGTTGATTATATTAATTACATGTAAAAACTGTATTTTTGTGGTATAAAGTGGTTAAAAAAAAGCGTTCTTTAGTCCTTTCATCTTTTAAAAATGTGTTAGCTAGTGTACGTAGTATATATATAAAAATGTTAGGAAAAGCTGAAATTTGGAGGATTCCATAAGACACTTGCACGTATAATATCTGTTCTCATTGCTTTTATTTAAAAATTATTTTCCAATGCCAATTTAAGCATTTATGCAGTGTTTCTAGACAATTGACATTTTTATAAATGTCTGTGGTTTTTTTTGTTAGTTTGTTTTTGAGATGAGAGTCTCATTCTACCACTCAGGCTGGAGTTCCATGGGTGATCTCAGCTCACTGCAACTTCTGCCTCCCAGGTTCGAGCAATTCTCCTGCCTCAGCCTCCCTAGTAGCTGGGATTACAGGTGTGTACCACCATGCTTGGCTAATTTTTGTATTTTTAGTAGAGACGAGGTTTCACCACGTTGGCCAGGCTGGTCTCAAACTCCTAACCTCAGGTGATCCACCCGCCTCAGCCTTCCAAGTGCTAGGATCATAGGCGTGAGATTGCACCTGGCTAAATGTCTGTTTTCTTAAAGGTTTTAGGAGATGACTTTTTAAAATACTGCTGTGTGTTTGTGATTTTTTTGTTTTTGAAACGGAGTTTTGCTTTTGTCTCCCAGGCTGGAGTGCAATGGCCCGATCTTGGCTGACTGCAACCTCTACCTCCCGGCTTCAAGTGATTCTCCTACCTCAGCCTCCCGAGTAGCTGGGACTACAGGCGTCCGCCCCCAAGCCCGGCTAATTTTTGAATTTTTTTTTTTTTCAATAGAGACGGGGTTTCACTGTGTTGGCCAGACTGGTTTCCAACTCCTGACCTCAGGTGATTCACCCGTCTTGGCCTCCCAAAGTACTGGGATTAAGACATGAGCCACTATGCCCGACCTTGTGTGTTTGTAATTTTAAGAGAAACAGGTTAAAAATGTGCATTTACGGAGCTTCCCTTTCTTGAAAATTTTATAAACGTTACTAAATAGCCAACAATATTTTCATGGTAAAGTTTTCTTTTTAATGCTGCTAGTGACAAATGGTAGGTGAGATGAAATCAATATTCTTACTTTTCTATGTTGAAATGAATAGCTATTCATGTTTCAGGAAAACAATTGCATATTTTAAAAGATTATTAGAAAATTGTTCTTTTTTTAAGGGTTTAGAATTGTATTAGTCTGTCAACTAAATTATGCATAATTTATCAGAATAATTTGGCTTCAGAGTTTTTATTTTAAAGTTTTCTCTTTGAACTAATGAAGTACTTTAAACATTTAAAAAGTACACTTAAGGCTAGGCATGGTGGCTCACATCTATAATCCCAGCACTTACGGAAGGTGGAGGTAGATCGCTTGAGCCCAAGAGTTTAAGACCAGCTTGGGCAACATGGTAAAACCCCGTCTCTACCAAACAAACAAACAAAATTATCCGGCTGTGGTGGTGCTTGCCTGTCATCCCAGCTACTGGTGGGGCTGAGGTGGAAGGGGATTGCTTAAGCCTGGGAGGCAGAAGTCGAATGAGCCGAGATTACCCACCACACTCCAGCCTGGGTGACAGAGTGAGACCCCATCTCAAAAAAAAAAAAAAAAAAAAACACTTAGGAAACAGACAACATTTTAATTTAGAATATTGTCATTGTTTAATAATGGTTTCCAAAATAGCTTGGAGAAGTGGTATAATTTAATAGAACACAGGCTTGGAATATCAAAGGATCTTGGTGTGAATCCCAATTCTGCCACTTAAGTCGCATACTTCATCTCTTTTCAGTTTTTGAATCTGTAAAATGAATATGTATTTATGTTTCATCGAATCTTTTTTGTTTTTTGTTTTCTTCTTTTGTAGACACAGGGTCTCCCCAAAAGTTTTGAACTTTTGGTTTTGAACTCCTTAGTTTAAGTGATCCTCCTGCCTCAGCTTTTCAAAGTGCTGGAATTAAAGGCATGAGCTACCATGCCTGGCCAAGTCTAAGGCGGATATTTATTCAGTTTTCAATATTTTTGAAATCTACATGAATCTGAAAATAGTGTATTATATTTAATTGGCTATGTTTTTTTCTTTCTGCACATTACAGAAAATAATGGTGCTTCTTATAATTGAGGATATCTTAAATAAAATATAGTGATAAAACCAACTTTATAGACTCATTTTGAAGTGGAAATTAGATAATATAAGCACATGGAAGATACTCCTTAAGTACTAGTTTTCTTTCTCTTTTTCTTATAATGAGGTATGTTAGTTTTTATGATAGTTTGTTTGGGGGATTTGTTGTTTTATCAGGAGAATCAGAAGTTGAGAGCTATTAGGTAAAGACTCATGGGTCAATATTTTAAGTTCTCACATCACAACATCTTGTATCTATATTGCTGAAACACTTTTACTTTGGAGAAATGGCCATGTTTTGGGCAATAATAATTATTGTATTAGCTAACACTTACGTAATGGTCACTTTGCACTGATTACTGTTCTATTTATGTATAAATTAAAGTCCTTAAAACAACCGTATGAAATAGGTACTGTTACTCCCATTTTTACAAATGAGGAAACTCAGGAAAAGAAAGTTGATTAATTTTCCCAGAGTTCAACAGTTGTACTACAAATGAATTAAACCAGTAAAACAAATCCAAAAAAGAGCACACAGAACCAAGAAACCTAATAGGTTAGCCTAATAATCTTAGGAATACTTTTTCAAACAGAAGAAAAAGTTTCACATGGTTTTAAATATTGACTCTAAAACACTGACTAACGTGGAGTCTGAATCAAGTGATAAAGATTTAGCCAACAACTTATCCTTTCCCTTTTGAGTAAAGGAGCATTTTAGTGTTTCAACTAATAGAGTCTCAGGCAATGTAAGAACTGGCAAATTTTATCCTGTTGGCTGCCAAATTGGACTCTATTTAATTGCTGATGCAACATAAAAGTGACTTAATGGATTTTGAGTAGAAAGAAATGGAATAAACTACTAAGCCTCTATGAGAGAAATTTCACTGGAGTAGAAGAGGGTAAAGTAGCCAGAGTTTACCCGCTCTGGTAGATGAAGTGGATGGAACGGAAAACTAACAAATCTTTAGCATCCTTATTCTGGATTCAATCTGATAATGGCAGATTATTTTTAAAATATTATTTCTGCCTAAGATATAGTCCTTCCCACCAACAAAATATTCTGACCAGCATTCTGACATTTGTATTTGCGGAGTTGCTTTAGAAAGAGGAACTAGTCCCAGGAATGTATTTAGAATATATCATAATCAAATTATGGGGACAGGTTTTTTTCCCTAAACATTTTAATTAAAAGTACTTTATTTCTTGTTTTTGTTGTTGTTGTTGTTGTTATTGTTTGTTTTGTTTAAGAGATGGAATCTTGCTCTGTCACCCAGTTTGGAGTACAGTGGTGCAATCTCAGCTCACTGCAACCTCTGCCTCTGGGTTCAAGCAATTCTTCTGCCTCAGCCTTCCAAGTAGCTGGGATTACAGGTGCCTGCCACCATGCACGAATAATTTTTGTATTTTTAGTAGAGCTAGGGTTTCACCATGTTGGCCAGGCTGGTCTTGAACTCCTGACCTCAGGTGATCTGCCCACCTCAGCCTCTAAAAGTGCTGGGATTACAGGTGTGAGCCACTGTGCCTGGCTTTATTTCTTAGACTTAAAGATATTCATTATGTCTGTTTATGAGTGAAAAAGTGAAAATAGCTTAATATACAACTGTCAGATAATACTTGAGTAAATCATATTACATTACTACAAAGACTGTTATGCTGGGTTTAAAGTTAATGTTTACAGGACTTCTGTTCCTGGGATTGTGGAGTAATAGGGACAGGATTTACCCTTTTGCCAAAAACAAGAAGAAAACCAGATGCATGGCTAAAATCACTGGATAAAACAGTAATTTTCAGAGATTATATTATAAGCAGTGTAAAGTTACAAAATCAGGGAAACAAACAGGCTGTGCCTTACAGGTGCCTCTGTTTATTACCTGGCACCATTTTCCAAGCTGCAAGGAGGAGGAACCCAAAATGCAGTCTCAACAATTTGAACTAGAATTTGCAGGGCTGAATACCAGAGAGGATGATCCTTTATTAACAGTTTCAGAGATTTGCAGAGGGGTCCTTTGGTTGAATACTAATCTATGCATGTATAAGAGGAAACTATTAATAACAGGGAGTTTTGACTTTTGCGGGGTGTCCTGGCCTAAAAGCTGTCAATACATGGGATTTTGCAGAGGTTGCACTTTGATCCCTACAGACAGTATTATCCAGGTTCATTGCTTCCACATTACATGTTTTATAAGAATCTTATTACTAAATTAATGTTATTCTTGTGTTTTGAGACCAACATACAGGGGCAGGACCCATTGAATCCTTGAGTTTGGAAAGTATTTCTGTGCAATTTGCTTCTTTTTTTCTTTTATTTGCGATCTAAACCTCCTTTTTATCCATCTTCTACCTTTTCTCCTTCCTTTTTTTAAACCTAAAAACATTTTCTTTATAATTCAGTTTGAACTTTTACTATAATGTAGCTTATTTCTTATTTGGGAACTTTAATTTTATAAATCTAGATATGATTTTGCTAACAGAATTGCTTTTTCTGGTGGCTCCTGAAGGTTGTACTGGAGTATCTTAGATTGCCAGCAGGTACCCATTCCCCTCCTGTGTTGACCTGAGAGACCTTTTGCCTTTCTGTTACCACAGTAAAATTTTTACTAGGGTTTGAAGAAACAGTTGAGGGTAAAATTCTTAGTCTTTCTTGGCAAAATAACATTTTGTAACTGATTTAAATACACATTGTTTTAACCCATTTGTCTTTTTTTTTCACGTTTTTTTTTTTTTTCCCTTCCCACAGGTACCAGAGAAGAAAGGAAAAGAAACAAATACTGGTTTTGGTGGGCCAGTTATTAGTTCTCTATATCATGAAGAAACCATCAGGTAATTTGTCTTCTGATCTTCGATAATTGGAATATATATGCGTGTGTGTGTGTGTGTGTGTGTGTTTGCATTTGCTTATGTATATATGTACTATATGTTTTTAATTTTGAAATCTTCCATTTGTGAAGCATTCTTTCTTAACATGAAACTGATTTGGTGATGTTTGCAGCAGGACATTAAATGACAGGAAATAATTTTTTAGGTGTATAATCTTTAAAATCAATTAAATGTCTGAATAAGTGCCAGATAAGTATGTGAATAAGTGATAATAATTGCTTTTCATCATTGTCTAATAATAACTGTCTCATTCAGCAACTTTTCCCTACATAAGTAGTTGGCGGGGCAAGACCTTGTGTGTCAATCTAAAGCTAAGAATTTTTGTATTAATTTTCCTCAAAATACTATTTCTTTTACAGATGTTAATTTTTATAATTTAATTAAAAGTTAATTTAATTTGCTCCAAATTAAAAGTCATTTTGGAATATAAAATGATACAGCCACTGTGGAAAATGAAGTTTCCTTGGAAAGTTAAAATAGAATTATGATATGATCCACCAATTCTGCTTCTGGGAATGTATCCAAAACAAAGCAGAATCTCAAAGACATATTTGCACACCCATGTTCATAGCAGCACTCTGTACAGTAGCCAATAGGTGGAATCATCTGTTGACAGATGAATGTATAAACAAAATGTAGTATATACAATGGAATATTATTCAGCCTTAAAAAGGAAGGAAATTTTGGACCTTGAGGACATTATGCTAAGTGAAATAAGGAGTCACAAGAACACACTTTGTGATTATACTTACGTGAGATATTTAGAGTAGTCAAACTCACAGAAACAGAAAGTAGTCAAAAATCAGAGAAGAGAGTAAAATGGTGGTTGCCAGGAGCTAGCGGGTAGGGGAAATGGGAAGTTGTTTAATAGGGACAGAGTTTCAGTTTTGCAAGATGATAAAGTTATGGAGATTACACAACAGTGTGAATATACTTAACACTGCTGAACTGTACACTTAGAAATGTTTTAGCTTTTAGTTTTTGAGAGGGAGGATCATATTTTACCCGTCTCTGCGTTCTCACTATCTGAGGAAAACCCCCAAACTTAGTAGATGTTCAGTGAAAGTGCTCAGAACTTGGGAGGTAGCTACAGCTGCTTCTTTTAAAGAGCTGATAGTTTAGTGCTTATATAGAATTAGCCTAAAACCCTGTGGTAAAACAGAGAGCTACTGGTTTGGTTCCTCTGTGATATGCCCATCTTCACCTTTCTCTTAAGCAATAAAAAATGTATAGGCTATTTTTCTTTCCTAGCTAGATAAGTAAGTTGAGATAGTTTCTTGACTTTCCTTAAAAAAAAAAAAAAAATCACTAAGCTTAAGTTTCTAACAATATCAATCACTTATCTATAAATAATAATGATCTTTATGTTGTATGCTATTTTCCTTACAGGCACCCAGACTCTAGTATTTTTCAAAATGAATACTGAATACAGTTTCTTTTAGAATGGCTGATGACATGACTGATCATAGTAGCTTTACAGAACATGAAGCAAATCAAATGTACTCCAGTTGTAGTGAGAGCAGAAATCCTGACATAGAGTTAAAGAGTTAAACTGTGTTGGAAGGGTTAATCTTCTTTCCTTTATCCCCCACCCAATTGCTAGTGAAGTGACTCTTACATTTAAATCAATATTTAGAATTTTGACTGTGATAAACAATGACAAAGAATAATATAGTTTATTTTTTTAGAGATTTTAATTCAGCTCAACACACTTTTATTGAATCTGTAATGACATAATACATTGTGAATATTTGTGCTTCTCAGCGTCTTCACTTTTGACTAACATTTTCTTACTATTGGCATTTTTATGAAAGTATATTTAGTAAATATTAAGTGAAATATGAACATTCACTGTGGGCAAAACTGGTTAGACTTGGCCTTTTTTTCATGAAGTCTTCATTAAGTATTAGTCTTAACGATATCTGAATCTTCATATTCTGAACATACTGTTGAGAAACAGTACGAAACAATGTGAACAAGCCACTGAAAGCCTTTTAAGTATTACAAACACAGTAATTTTGTTACTGCTACAGCAGATCAGGAATTACAGCAACTAATTGTAATCTTGTATTGAGAGAGTTCTTTTTATATGTAATAGAATTCCATTGTAACAAATTAGGCCATAATGAACATGTACTGAAATGTTGGATTATTCCAGTGAAGGGCCAGATCTAGCCCCTGTGGTTTCTTAAGTATCAGAATGCAGTTGCAACAATGAAAATGGTCTATTTCTTGAAGTTATGTAGTCAAATCATGCTTGTATTTTGGTGAAATATAATGTCTGGTGTCTTACTTTTTTAAGAGAAAGTTGTGCTTTAATTGATGTTAATTGCAATTTCTTGGGAGAATTATGTTCAGCTGAGGTGAAAGTAACAGTAGGTTTTAGAATTTTAGAAGCATCAAATGGCAGACTTGGATAAAAGCAAAAATTTTTTTCTATAGTACCATCGTTTTTAAAAAGGACATAAAATAGTGTATTTTGAAGGTTTGTTTTGATACTTATAAACTCCAGAATTTTTACATTTGTAAAGATTAGACAATTCAGTATCTAATAAATCCATTTGGTTAAGTTTGGGTTCTATTGTTGTGGCAGCTTTTCTGATGAGTGTGTATTATATAATAGATGATAAGTTATGCGCTTTAGTTTTAAGGTAAATGTTCTTGAGCCAAGGGCCACTGGGGCCAATTCTGAGCTTGCTTTCTGCTTTTCACTCTGTCATAGAAAGTATCAATATAAGGTCAGCGGTTCAGATCTCTCTGTTAATATCGCAGAGCTCTGACATCAGTTTCTCATTCTGAAGGTAGTTAATTGTTTTGTAATATAACTGAGAGGGTGTAGTAGGCTGATTAGAGTTAAGTACAAAAAATTATGGATCCAAACCGCTGACATTCAAATGCTAGTTCCATCACTTACCAGCTGTGTGATATTGGGCAGTTACTTACCTGTAAAATGGGGATAATTATAGTACTTGTCTCACTTGGTACTTGGTACACAGGCATCCTAGAGGAGGATCTGGTATAAAATAAGCTACTGTGTGACTGTTAGTTTTTATAATATTTTTACTCAGCAGAGGAAGTCCCTACAGAGGAGCAAGGAGCTAATGCTAGGAGCTAAAATATCATGGCATTCTGGTTATATAATTAAATACAAGTTGTTTGCTTTTGCAAAAGAAAATGGAATACAAGGAAGGGAGAGCCAGTGCTTTTAGAACTGTGGAAACAGAGTAACAAATCTTAAAACAGGGAGTTACCTCTAGTTTTGACATCAGCTGTGTTTTTCATTTATACTGCAGATGGGCAGAAAAAGCACTGGTTAATAAGCATAGGAGTTTGTAGAGTGAAATGGTTCTGCACTACATAGACAAGAAATTGCTTCTGGTTACTTGTATGCTTCAAAGGTTTGATCTAGAAGTTTGCACATAAACTGAGAAATTAGAGCAAGAATTAAAAATACAGTAAATGAAGATTGAACAGTACCCACACCACCCTTCAATAAGATTTGGTCCTCCCTGTTATATTTTATAGTTTGATGTCATGTAATCTATTAGAATTTTATTAATTCCACTTACACACACAGCCATCTGGACCTTCTCTAAGCAAGACCAGACCTAGTATACAACTGAAATGATTGATGGGCTCTGGAATTGATTAGTTGTTCTGTGAGACAAATGAAGTGTTTTGGCAGAAAATACCAGAGGTCGCTGCTTGTGGTCAGACACAAAAGCCTGTAGAATTTCAAAGAGGTGCTTTCATCATTGACTTATAAAGTTTCCATTTTTAAACAATAATGGATTTTGAAAATATTTCCCAAATATCTTTTCATTGGCTGCTCTCTAGTCCTGATTATAAATGGAAGAATATAAGTATAAAAAATTAGAATGAAAGTGATTTTTTATGCTTTAATTTTGTATTCTTGGTGAAATATGAACTAGCTTGGAAGTAGCATAAAAGCCTGTCACACATAAATTATACTCTAAAATTTTCCTGAAGGAGATATGATTGGAGAAAAAGCTGTAACTTACATAGTTTTGTTGTAAATTACTTCTAAAATCAGATGGTATAAAATTCTATTTATTTATTCAAAACTTCACATTGTTAGATTGCAGCCGGTTTTTAACAAATCTGCTTAAAGATTCTTAAACTTCCAGAGTATGTGTTACACATATTTGTGTTTTAAAAAATGAATATTCAGCTTTTTATGCATTTAACAGGCCAAGTCATTCTGGGACACCACTATCCTAATGACACTAGTGCCTTTAGCACCAAAAAGCTTCCCCCCATCTGTTTGGCTGCTGGTGGTGTAATACTTGCCTATTTCACCATGTTGCCTGTGATCAACATTGTGTTAACACCTTGATGATGGGTGATAAATTGGATGACATATGTCTTGTTACATTCTGGTTATTCTTTGAGGACTACACAAGTGTGTATAGGCAAGTGGGCAACTCCCCCTGGAGAATCTGACTGCTCAGAATGAACTTGAGTTATGGATTTATTCAGCCTGTAAAACCTCAGCTGGCATAAATAATTGAGAAAGCAAAGGTTTGTCTTTGGTGCATACCTCAGGGACTCACGGCTGCCTTCCTCCTCTCTACCTCCCTTTCTTATGAAAATGATTCCAGTTGCACTCCTAGATAATAACACACCAAGCAATTAAAAGCCATGGGTGGCTGGAGAGAGGAGAAAAGGTTTAGTTAATGAGCTTTTCCTCTTCCAGTGCCCATGAGAGCCTCAGGAATGACAAGGCGATTAAAGCGAAGAGATAATTATAGATTATGTGAAAATGGGTCCCCTGGGACACGTGGGTCTTGACATAAGCAGTAACTGTTGTAAAAGTCTCCTGGCTCTCATATTCACCCTTTTCTGGTGTGCTTCATTTACCTCCAGTGTGCTCAGTGTCATCATGCCAACCAAGCATATACACAAATCTAGCCCCTTCTGAA